TAGTAACTATGAGTAACACTCTGTATACACAAGTGAATTCCATCAGCAAATTTTCGAGTAAATGAGAGCATCTGAGAGAGCGTGACAACCCTGTCGAAATTTGAAAATGTTACACATACTTTACTCATACATTTATTTCAAGTAAAATTTGTGTTGGTTTGTGAATCAGCTGTTTTGGTTTGAATTTAAATTTTAGTATTCTTTATTTGCGCGACACTGTGTTCTACCCAGACTTTACCCAAAGCTGTTCCATGAATATTTGTGTAAAGAGCGTAATTTGGCACTTTATTTATGTTACGCACTCAGTTTGTAATTTACTTGTGTTTTACTTGAGTTTTACTATGAGTAGCTGGTGGAACAGACCTATTAATATATTAATAAAACTTCCTTTTAACATCCGTCTTTACTACCAAATGTTGAACGCATGTTTTTACTTCTTATTACTGATCTATTATTTTGTAATACGGGGTTTACATGACGAGATATTGGTTGCTGGTTTTGCGGTCAAAGTCGATTTCCACCAGCAAAGCTCGGAATGAAAACCCCGTATAACAGTTTAAAACCACAAAACTTATTGTCTCAATAAACGAATTTTAAAGGAAAGTAAATTTTTACTCTAATTAAAAAGCTAGAACAGATTCTTTTTTGCAATTAGAGCAACATATGTATATAGGGATGAACGTGTTTTGATTTATTAAAGAAATGTTACGCTTGACCTAATTTATAGCAATTGTTATCGAAATAATCGCAAAATAATTATTCAAACTCTTCAATGCATGTAATAAAAGGAGAGGGTTTTTGAACTAAATGGCAATATTGAAATTGCTTTTCTATAATAAAAATATTGGAGTTATGGAGTTAATGGAGTTAATACATATTCTGATAAAGGACATGCTGAATCACCCGCAATCAATTCTTCAGGTGAAACAACATTTTCTTCTTTTTATAAATTGAACTGTTACGATTTATTTTTGCATCATGCCAACTGCCTGGATGACCTACTACAACATGTCGAATTCGCCGCTTATAATCACAAACGATTTGAGCTTTTATGAAGTACACATGATGTCGGGAAAAAAAAGTTATGTGATTGTTAACTGGACTTTCAGCTAATTTTATTTCCGTACTGGGAACGTTCACATGCATTCGGCCCAAAGCTATAATTAGGTTGTAATTTCAAAATAGCCTAAAAGACGCTGCCTGTTATATTCATTATCGTTCCACCATCTCCTTTTCCAAAAATTGCTGCCATTTTTCTACATGTGTATTAGATTCATAAAGATAGGCATTTCCCTTTCATCTGTAACTAAATTTATGTTAATCCAATCTCGCCCTAAAATCAAATCCAATCTCGCCCTATTTTTCTTTCACTAGTATTATATTTGTGCACCTAATTACAACTCTGGTACATTTTCTCGTACCGGATTTTTGTCATAAACCCAAAACCAAAGAAGATAAAGAAAAGAAACTGAGAGGAAATTTTGAATAATGGTGCCTCTTTGTGTAATATCGCAAAGAAAATCTCTTTTACTTATTTACCATACCAGAATTGTCAAATATTAAAAACGGTGTGGCTTATAACTTAAATATTTACTACATTTGTGGTTGCATATTAGCATGTAGCCATTTCTTCTAATTAGAAGAAATAGTATAAATTATTGTTTTTGGAAAATCCATTGTATGTATTAATACGATTATAATGAGTAAATATAGGCATGATTTTTTATATCAGTTTTACTTTAATTTACATAAAAGTTTTAAATGCGCTATATAAATCAAATATAAATGAAGAATTGGTAAACTAAAATCAATAGTAAATATAAAGTAGCTATTATTGATATATGTAAATATGTATATATAATTAGTCATGAAATTGTTTTAATAAAGTTAAAAAAATTGTATCGTATTTATTAAAATAAAAGTTCTTTTAATCATGTTGCACATATATGTACGTACTATATTTATATATATGCTGAGCATCTAATAGAAAAGTTAGTATGTGTTCATACATTTCGAGTATTAGATTGCATTGTTTTAATATTTTGTTTTAAAAAGATTAATATTAATATAATTTTTTAAAATTCAAAAAAAGTTTGGTATATTGTAATACAATTTTTGCTTGTGCATCAAATTTTTTCAATATAGAAAATCGTAAAAATGTATATACTGTTTACTACTACATATTTTTTGTAGTTTTAAGCAATCCTTTCAGTAAGGTGAAATGTTTTTTGTATATGAAATTCAAGAAATTCTTAACTAGTTAATAACAACATTGTAAACAATGCGGATCAATTTCATCGCATAGCGTTAGAAGAAATATTAAATATATAAGCATTTTCCGCACCACCTAAGAGGTATGCTTGCTGGCGCGTTACTGAGTTTTAGGTGTTGGTTCCCTAATAGGCCTATCCACCAAAATGTTTTATTTAACAAATATACAATTTTATGTGAATACAATTTAGAATAACTTAATATATACAAAATAATATTACTATTTTAAAAATATTTAATATTAAACCAAAAATAATAAGGAACTATTAAATTAAAGATAAATTATAAATAAATTTAATAAATTATAAAATTAAAACTAAAATATTTTTTGTTTAAGCAAAAAATCACTTAAAGAGTATGAACACTTTTGTGCTGTTTATAAGTGTTGAAAGCATAATTGTTTATATTTAAAATTCGACACTTTATTATCTCGATTGAAATATTTTAAAATGAAGTAAATTCTTACTTTAATGAAAAAAGATAGAAGAGTTTCAATTTTGCAATTAGGGCAACATATATAGGGATGAACGTTTTCTAATTTATTAAATAAATGTTGCGCTAAACCTAATTTATAGCAATTGCTATCGAACTGATCCGAAAATTGTGATTCTAATTTTTCAATATATGTATATATAATAACAACACTCAATCAAAGTATAATTAATAATATTAATTTCTCTTCAGGATTTTTCCTTTTTTATAATTATTAGTATATCATGGAAAAAATAAAAAATAAAAGCACAACTTAATTCGTAGTTTATTATATACACTAATTAGGCACACATCTAAGTTTCTAATGTGTTAATACATTTATATATTTACTTTATTCTACAACAATAAATTGCGTTATTTTTAATTAATAATATACCTTCGATAATCGTTTGGATAAATATAGAGATGTTTGAAATTTAAACATCCAAGTACGCACTTCCGTTTCAATTGTAAATAAATTTTAATTAACTAATAATTCATATATTTTTCTGGAATAATTACCTTTTTTTAATGCTTTTATAATTGAAAACAAATTCCGCCTTATTTTTCTTTTAGTAATGTGGTATTTGTGCACTTAATTGCAACTTTGGCGCATTTTCTCGTAACGGATTTTTAATGTCAAAAAACCAAAACAAACAACGAAATTTCTCAGAAACCTCTCTTACTTTAGCAAATATCGTGGTGAGTAGGGACCGGGTGGGCAAAGTACCAGGGTCCGGGTGGGGAAAATATTCACGCGCCATTATGTAGCATTAGGCTTTTTGTTATTGTACTGCGTAATATTTTCACCTCATTACACAAAATTTTTGAATATTTTTTGAATAATCCAGAAAAATTTATACACAATTTTTCGAGTAACTCTCAGTTTCTTTTCTTTATCTTCTTTGCCCAAAACATTCAACGTAATTTCTCAGAAAGTGCTCTTATTTTAGCAAATATCGTGGTGAATAAGGATTGGGTGGGTAAAATAGCAAGATCGAGTGGGGAAAATCGTCTTGCGCCATTGTGTAGCTCTAGGTTTTTTGTTTTTGCACTGCTTGATATTTTCACCTCATTACACAAAATTTTGAATATTATTTGAATAATCCAGAAATTTTATACACAATTTTTTGAGTAACACCCAGGTTATTTCTTTATTTTCTTTGGTGAATACATTGCATAAAAAGACATTCACGGTAACTATTTCCAAAATTATTTATTATATATAAATAAAAAAGTATAAAGTTTAGGCGAAGTATAAAAAAGAGAAGTGTACTTATAGCGCGAAGATAGATTTATATCAGAGCAAAATGTTTAAAGTTCTACGAGTACGAACATCAATCAAATTTAAGCTATTGAATTTTTACATAAAATAGTTAACTATTATTTTTGTAGTCTTCTGGAAATGCAGACAATATTATAGAAGTTAACATAGAAGTCGAAACAGTCTGTCTGTTTTCAGCAATAAAATTATAAGCTTCATATAGTTCTTATAGAAAATAACCTAACAGTGGTTACTCATGTACCCGGTTACACTATAATTACTTTCTTATTGGGAATTGTTTCTTTATCAACAAAGTACAGCGATAAAGTAATTGCTTTGGGCAGTTGTCAGTTGTTCTGTGAAAGTGTTGGACGTTAGTGCTTAATCGGAATAATTCAAATAACTTCATATTCGATATAGTGCATTAAATATTATAACCAAAACTTTAAATTTTAGTGTGAGTAAACATAATTAATTGCATTTGAGACAATAATATTAAGAGAATTTCGCAATATTTTTACATTACGTACAAGAATAATACATACCAAATCGAACGGTCATTTCTGACATTAACTGAAAAAAGTCCATATAATAGCAAAAATTTTTTTTTAAATATAATTGAAGTGTTTACGATTTTTAGGGTGCTCTGATTTGAAGATAGATTGAAATTGCTTATTCTGACAAAATTTTTCCGATGTACTATTCATCAATATAACTTGATAAGTGCAATTTAAGTAAAAATTTGGTAAAAATTTAAGTAAAATTTGGTTACGAATTGTCTTTAGATGTCGTGAAAGCTTATGAACTGTGTTTTCAGTATAAAATTGTATAACTTTTGTATAGCCTCTTATTTAAGAATCTAGCGATATCGGTAATAGCTACTCAGTAAAAAAAATTTATTGAAAATCCATCGTCAAATTCCATTTATTATTATCATACTTGAAAAATCATTAAATTGGTTAATATATTATTTAATTAAGTGCTAGAACAATTTCTTAACTAAAGGTTACGGCTAGTATGTCCTACCCAAAAACTCAACAATACATTCTGCCAAATATTGTGCTCTTCTGACATAAGACTTTCAACGTACATATATATGTATCCGTTATTGTAAACAAACAAAAAGTGTATAAGACTGTAAGATTGAAGCACACACTTATTGTATCTTGATCCATATTTAAGTGGAGAATTATTGGTTTTTGTAATAATCAAACATACTGCGGGTGTCTGCTTAAATAACAGAAAGTGAATCCATCTAGATTTCAAATTTAAATAGTGAAGCACAGCTAAAACAATTTACTGATTCACTGCAGTTGCAATTTTATTACCGTTACAATGGCTAAGAACGAAATGAATCATAAACAGCATGCGTTACCTGAAGATGATTTACCAAGCACCTCAAAACAAAAGTTCGTAGCAAAGAATTCCTTGGGATTCAATCAAATGTCCTTGAGCTGTAAGGGATTCGGAAAAAATGACCCATTTAAGCAACATAATGGCAATGAACTTAATACAAAAAGTGTTGCAAAACAAAAACATGCAAATGGACCCTCAGTTTCATGCCCGCTCCCCCCAGAGAAAAAACGTAAGTCAATTAACAAGAAGATCCAAACTGCAAAATTTTATATCAAGTGGCCGACAAAATTCAAATTCGCTGATGATTCAAGCATAACAAGAAATAAAGAACCATTGAAACGCACAGATTCAAAATCGCTTAAAAATCAAAAGATCGATTCTTCTACCAAAGGAGTGGTGTCGAACAAGCATGGAGAAAAGTTTTATTTAAAATTTATCGAACTCCCTTCTCAATCGAAAAGCGCAATGGAGAATATTAAACATTCGAATACTTTAACTGGTTTTCAGAGAACAACAAGTACTACGAGGTCATTAGTCAGTGACATAACACCAGAACCGTACTGTGTGGTTAAACAACAAAGTAAAATATTCCGTTTTAACGATACTAAAAGAGGAAATGTATCTGATGTTCCATCAACGTCAAAGAGAACTTTAAATGAAAAATCATATATGCCAGTTATTCCGTTGAAACTTATAAAAATTGAGCGACAAAAAATAGTCGAAATTATTGATTTAAATTCGACTACTTTTCCCAGTTCCAAAAAGGTATATACTACATTGCCCTTTAAATCGTCTGCATGCGAAATAGCCACCAATTCTGTACAAGATGCGGGACGAACTTACTTACGTAAAGAGTGGGATGACGAGAACGTAAAAGATACAGGTAAATAATCAATAAATATATGAGTACATGACATGACTACAGCCTAGTAGTTTTATTTTTAATATGACGTATATTTTAAACGCATGTCAACTAATGTCGCTTTTAGCTAAAAATGCAATCCCACCAACTGCATCAGCAAATGTTATTGAACAAGCACTAAATTCCTGTACAGATGAATTTACGCTGAAAAATGAGAAGCCAAAGTTACTAATCTGGTCTGGTGTAACAGAGTGTTCTGATGAAAATGTGGAATATATACGTAAGCTAAACAGTGCACACCAGAGAACTGCAAGAAGTCATAATTTTATAAGTCAAAGTACACTCATAAAACATCAAAAATAAATGCGTATAAATGTTTTTCTCATACACTACTTACATGCATTCACATTCGCCACTGAAATCATTCACAAGCTTCACAAGAATACGTATAATTCTTGAATCATAGCATATACCCAGGTGAGTTTGAATATACTCATCGAAAATGAATGACTCGTATTTTGCTAAGCAAAAAAATTGTATGTTTTAAACTTCAGTTAGTCGGTACGTACCGTTAGAACTTAAGCCAGAATAGAAAAATCAAATGCAATTAGGTTTTCTAAGTAAACGAATTTAAAAATTGTGATCAGTTGTTCGCGAAACCTTTTTAAAGGTAGGTGCATTGTAATAATGCGCACATTCCATTCCACATTCTATGGATATGCAATATCTTCAGAAACATGTTGACAATTTGGTACAATTTGGTGTTATTCATATTTCAAAATATTTTTATAAAGAGGTTTTTTCGAACAGTAGTGAACTACAACAAAAAAAATTTATTTTTTATATTATTTTAATTAATTGAATTTTTGGCGGACCGTACAGCTGTTTCGAGTATTATAATGATTTTTTGAGACTGCAAGTACCAGGGTTCGAACTCGGGTCCTGCCAAAAAAAAAAATATTTTTTTTAATTTACTAAAAATGTTTCCGGGAAAATGTATTTCAAAATATGTAGGCCGTGTGCGAGTTCGAGTAAATTGAGGTAAAGTTAATTGAAATTTCCTAGGGATTCTTTGCACTACACTTATGTAAATATCTTATTTATTGCACTTATTTATTATTTTTAGTTAAAAGCTTTCAAAATTATTTATTTTTTTAAAAAACATCTTATAAAATTTTCACAATTGTAACACCTAATTCACCTAATTTTTATCTAATTTAACTTACTCGAAATTCTGGTAAGTACCAACATTCGCTGCCATACCGACATAATTTATTATTTCCCTCAATTTACCAACAATATGCTCAAACTCGCACACGGCCGTAATGTCATTAACGATAATTGTCTTCAATTTTCTATAAAATATTTTTACTATTATTTTACGTGCAAATTAATTAATAGGTTCTTCGTTTAATGTTTTTAAAAAATTATATTTTATTTATATTTAACTTATAATTAAGCCTGATTGAAATTGAATATACAAACGCGCGTAGGCGTTATTTGGATGCGCATACTTAAGATACAAAAATTGTATGTAAAGGCAAAGTACCATTATATTAATACAGGGTGTTAACTTGCACATTTCAAAAACATTTTGTTTACCTATTTAAATGCAAACAAAATCAGCTGTTTACGTACAAACGTACTTTGGAGTAGAGCATTTTCTTTGAATTTTGTTTCTGCTTAAGTACTTACGAAACGCACCGACTAACTGAGCCTTAACTGAACCCACAGTTTTATACTTTGGTTGTGTGCTGTTGTTGTAAGCATTGTAAATGTTTGTGCAGTAATCCGCCCTATAATGCGGTACCCTTGTAACGCGTTTTCATTTTGCGCGATTTCAATCTCCCGTATAACACGGACATTCCCCCATATAACTTGGGGATTTGTACAGGTTATAATTATCTTCGCGTACCTTTGCACGTGTGTATACGGCAATATCCCGTAAATATTAGCTGCATTTTAGCAAACAGCTATCTGAATTTTCTTTGCTAAAAGGATACGGTTCGCATGTGAAAGAAATGGGCAAAATTTTATTTTGATTTATATGCATAATTCTGACGCTAAAATTATTGAGAAAATTTCATATATGAGACCTAAAAAATCTGAAAAATATAAGAAAATATGAAATAAAATAGGCATTTTACGATGCAAATGGTCTTTTTACAGACGAATATGGCGGTGAACCTGGTTCCTTGCACGATAGCCGAGTTTTGCGTAGATCGCAACTCCATAGTACAACTTCACTTCCAAATAAATTCCCTAGCGGTTCTTTTCTTTTAGGATATTTTGTGTATCCTAATTTAAATTCGCTTGAAAGTCCATTTGAAGAAAATGGTTCTTTGTTCTCTGCCCAAAGAGAATTTAGTGTAATGCAATGTTTTTGGTCTTACAAAAACAAGGTATCTTTGACTGTTGCATTTTATGGAACCACAAAGATTAACCAACGAGGAAGACAGAATAAGTGCTCAATATCTTGAATTGGATATCTTTAAGATATATTTTTAACTGTAGCGTATCATATGCTAAGATCACATTGCCAACGACATTTTACATAAAATACGTTCCAAATTTATTTTGTACATATATTTCATATTGGATCAGTATGAGATCCAGTTCAATTGTTGGTTTATCCCATTATTGTGGTTTTGCATGTAAATTGAACGGATCATTTAAAGAATTTTTGTCTCGAATGTCGGTGGTTATGAGTATCATAAGTGAAGTTAAATATACGAAAAAGCGAGTCAGAATGCATGTAAAGGACACACAATCAATGATTTGAGTATTGCAGTTCATCGCAGTTCTCTGGTGCACACTTGCACTATAGCAAAGCCTAAAATATTTATTATGAAACTAATATATTCAAATATATACAAATTAATGTTCCGTTTAGTTCCGCATGGAGTTCTGCCGCAATTTTCAACATATAAAACAGAACAAACACCAACTAGAGATTTTCACTTTCTTTCTTCTGACGATATAAAGTGCAATGATACGAACGCAAAATGTGCAGGTAAGCTAAAATTTGCATAAAAAATTGTATTCTAAAGCCATTAATTAAAAAAAAAATTATTTTATATAATTTTAAATTAATGACTTTTTAATTTCGTTTGAAGCTCCGTTGCCAGCTTTAATTGATCGTATGGAGCAACCAACAAGTTCGTATAAAGTTAAGTTTCTAGTCTCTAGTGAAGAAGTGCGCGACGATGACAACGCAGAATATATCTGTAAGTAAAGAACTGCATTCTTACGTAAAGGCTAAGGCTCTTATATACAAAAATATGTCACGTATATATATTAACGTAAATATATACCAGTAAAATATATTGATCATACTTTAACAAGTTGGATCTCTGATTTGGCTGAAATTTACTTTAGGTGCTCCTTTATTAAAATTAATGAACCTAATTTTTTTCTGCGGGAAAATTGTTTTTTTGAAGGAGCTCGTATAAAAATTTCGAACATATTGGAGTAGATGAGGTCAATTTTTGTCAAAATCTGATCAGCTTGTAATAGAATGACCGTGTCTAAATATACCGTAAAACTTTTAGTTTTATAGCTAATTTATAAACAATAAAATGAATTTCCTTTTTAGTACCAGATACAGTTCCGCGGGTAGCTTCTGCAGCTGTTATAAAACAAGCAACAAATTCACTTAAACTTCCGCATCGATTTTCTAATAATGTGTGCGATGATGATAACGCAGAATATATCGGTAAGCTCACAAGCACATCACTACGTGTAAGTTAAGACTCTTATGTTAATTGTATATCTTATATATATATCTTATATATCTTATAATTCTTTATATATATCTTATGAAGATATATATATATATATATATATATATATTCTTCTTCTTTAATTGTTTATTCAAAAATTAAATGTTAAGCAATTAATTAAATTACAATATATTAGAAATAATAATTTTGAAGTTCTCTCTCTGTCTCTAGCAGTATGTACCAAGTTTCCAATTGGTCTTGACCCAGCCTAGTGTCGGATCTTTCTCAACCAAGACATTTGTTTTCTACCAATGTCGCGTTTGCCTTCGATTATGCTGTTATTTTAGAAAGTGACGAATGGCCCACATATTATATATATAAATATATATCAAGAGTGAGCGAAACATTCAGGCTCAGGTAAGTTTCAATCCGACGACAAAACCACATATTTATCAGGCAATGACACTAACAGGCATAATAAGGGAGTCGGAATCATTCTTTCAAAAAGCATTGCAAAATCATTAACGGCATTCATCCCAAATACCGACAGAACAAAGCTTTTGAAGATTGACGCAACGCCCTTTGCACTGAACATCATACAAGTCTATGCTTCCATCTCCTAAATCTACTGAAACACACGAACTCCTATGAATTGAATCTCATTATTGGAGACTTTAATTCCAAAGTTGGATTAGGTGCATGGTGAGCATAGGTTAGGCTAGTTGATGAGCATGGTCTTGGAATAAGGAACGATAGGGGGACAAACTCATTCAATTCTGCCAACAAGAAAACTTTAAAATAACGAACACATGTTTTGCCTACATCCGAGGAGACTCTACACTTGGACATCACTTCAAGATGGTAAAAACAATATCGTACGCTACCAAATCGACTTTATACTGATAAACAAAAGATTCGCATCATCAGCCATCAATGATAGCACCTATCCAGGAGCCGACTTTCCCTCACACCATAAACTGCTTAAGACAAAGATCAGCATCAAAATTAAAGCATACCTGAAACGGAAGCCAACTGGAAAACACGATTTGAAATAACGGCAAAATTATACATCTCACCAAAAATTGTGTAATGAAATTAATAGCAAACTTGCCAACATACTTAGATCACCACAACACAAATTACTTGCAGATTTGGAATCAAACTGCACAAATCCTCGCAAATGCAACAAACAACGTGCCTGCTAATAAGCAAAATGGATGACTGAAGAGATTTTAGAACTAATGAATGAGAGACGATCCTTTAAGAATAAAGATTACAACAAATATAGAGATATCCAAAGATCTATCAGATCTAAAATTAGATAAATAAAGACAAACTGGCTGGAACAAAAATGTAGGGAAATAGAAAGACTCCAAAACTTACACAATGGTTTCAATTCACACAAAAAAATTAGCTTCAGGGGTGCATCAGGAAAAGATCACAAGCTTGTTATTTTATAACAATAACAAGCTGGTAATTGATGCCGATGAGAAGTCAAATATCTGGGAGAAATTTATCAATAAGTTATTTGAAGATAACACCAAAAGCACCACCATTATCGATCACCATCAAGAACTATGATCAGGTCCTTCAATAACCAAAGATGAGATCCAAAAAGCCATCAAATCATCTAAAAACAAAAAGCAGTTGGTCCAGATGAAACATCAAGAGAAATCATCAAACTTTTGGCCAACAACAACCTAGCTGTGCTTGAAAAAATCTTCAATGGTATTTAAGACAGTGGTGTATATCCTCAAGACTGGCTGAAATCCATATTCATTGCAGTACCTATATCCAACAAAGCTAGAAAATGCAGTGAATATAGACATAAGTTTAATGAGTTATATGCTTGTCATATTCTTGAAAATAATATACACACGATCATTTAAAAAATCTGAGTTTGGTTTTAAATAAGCAAAGGGAACACGAGAGACTCTCTTCAGCTTCTAAGTTTTAGTACAAAATTGGAAATATGTTCAGAAAGATGTCTTCATTTGCTTGAAAAAACGATCAAAAACTTGAAAGACCTGATCATAGTTCTTGATGGTGATCGATAATGGTGGTGCTCTTGGTGTTATCTTCAAATAACTTATTGATAAATTTCTCCCAGATATTTGACTTCTCATCGGCATCAATTACCAGCTTGTTATTGTTATAAAATAACAAGCTTGTGATCTTTTCCTGATGCACCCCTGAAGCTAATTTTTTTGTGTGAATTGAAACCATTGTGTAAGTTTTGGAGTCTTTCTATTTCCCTACATTTTTGTTCCAGCCAGTTTGTCTTTATTTATCTAATTTTAGATCTGATAGATCTTTGGATATCTCTATATTTGTTGTAATCTTTATTCTTAAAGGATCGTCTCTCATTCATTAGTTCTAAAATCTCTTCAGTCATCCATTTTGCTTATTAGCAGGCACGTTGTTTGTTGCATTTGCGAGGATTTGTGCAGTTTGATTCCAAATCTGCAAGTAATTTGTGTTGTGGTGATCTAAGTATGTTGGCAAGTTTGCTATTAATTTCATTACACAATTTTTGGTGAGATGTATAATTTTGCCGTTATTTCAAATCGTGTTTTCCAGTTGGCTTCCGTTTCAGGTATGCTTTAATTTTGATGCTGATCTTTGTCTTAAGCAGTTTATGGTGTGAGGGAAAGTCGGCTCCTGGATAGGTGCTATCATTGATGGCTGATGATGCGAATCTTTTGTTTATCAGTATAAAGTCGATTTGGTAGCGTACGATATTGTTTTTACCATCTTGAAGTGATGTCCAAGTGTAGAGTCTCCTCGGATGTAGGCAAAACATGTGTTCGTTATTTTAAAGTTTTTTTGTTGGCAGAATTGAATGAGTTTGTCCCCCTATCGTTCCTTATTCCAAGACCATGCTCATCAACTAGCCTAACCTATGCTCACCATGCACCTAATCCAACTTTGGAATTAAAGTCTCCAATAATGAGATTCAATTCATAGGAGTTCGTGTGTTTCAGTAGATTTAGGAGATGGAAGCATAGACTTGTATGATGTTCAGTGCAAAGGGCGTTGCGTCAATCTTCAAAAGCTTTGTTCTGTCGGTATTTGGGATGAATGCCGTTAATGATTTTGCAATGCTTTTTGAAAGAATGATTCCGACTCCCTTATTATGCCTGTTAGTGTCAATGCCTGTTAAATATGTGGTTTTGTCGTCGGATTGGAACTTACCTGAGCCTGAAAGTTTCGCTCACACCTGATATATATTCATATATATAATAAGTGGGCCATTGGAATTGGAAGTAACGTAATGATTTTTTGTCAATATAAGCTTCGTTTCTAGTGGAATGATCATGTCTAAATTCACTTTAAAAATAACTAATTCGCAAATAATAAAATTATTTTGTTTTTTAGTTCCAGATATAGTTCCGCCGTCAGCTTCAGCAGTTTTTAGGGAACAAACAATAAATTCGTTTAAAGTTCTGTATCGAATTTCTAATCATGTGTACAACGATGATGAAGTTGAATATATTTGTAAGCATAAAGATGCAAAGCTACATATTAGCTAAGACTTTTACATATAAAAAGTGTTGATTTTATTTATATAACTCATTTAGTGCCCATCGATACTGAGTCACTCGATTTTAAGAAACTCGTTAGTTCAAATATATATAATAACAAATGTAATGAAGGTGGTTACAACAAGGTCGATGAAATTGAAAAGATATCACTAATTCCAAGTATTTTTCCTCAAAATGCAACAAAAGTTCAATGTTTAAAAAAGCATTTGCAAGTTACGGGTAAAGCTAAAGGTGACACTCAAGATATGATCATCAAATTTCGACAAGAAGATCCTTTGTCAATAACACGTGATGGTATTGTCTCCTATAAAAATAATCAATAAAAATTATATAAAGGCCAGAGAGAGAGAGAAAATCTCAAGATCAAGAATCAACAAAAAGATCAAAACCGAATTCTATTCAATAATAAACTCAACTCATTTATGATGCTGAGTATGAAGAGTACAACCTATCTACAAAAGTACTTAAATTCTTGCAAAGTCGATTTTGTGAACAAACTGACTGACTGACCGACTGTAGATTATAAGAGAATAATATATAATTCATTAAATAAACCAAGCAAAAAGTTTATACTACATTTGAGGATCTCGTGAGAGCTACCAAGCTCTCGTCGAATTGCTTGGTAAAAATAATTCAAAATTTTAAAACACAAAATTAGCTTAAAAGGTGTTTTTTACATTGTAGTGCCTTCAGACATATATATCACATTAGAACCAATGTTAACACATCACCTACAAGACGTTCGGAAAATTCGAAAAACTTAAGCATGCGTGAAATTGTATATATTGACTCATTTACGTGAAGAAGATATCACGAGATTCAAATTATTTCAAAAAAAATCCTATTATTTAACTTTTGAAATACACTCATTTTATATTCCTGATGTTTATTGCACATTCAAAAATACAATATATTATTTATATATTGTGTTTTTATCCCAATTTTGTTGAAACAACTAATGTGTCAATTAAGGGATTCTAACTTCTAAATTCATTGATGTACCAATCCTAAACATTTATAACATGAGTATCTTAACTTTTTGTGATTTACAAGAGGAGTTAAACATTTTATTAAAAAATAAAGTTTTCGAGAAAATGGATTTCGTTTTTTTTAGTAATAGAAGTAGTAAAGGTGTGAAAGAAGTAGTAGTATTAATATAGTAGCAGCAGTAGTCTTATACTGTGAAAAGGCGGTAGGCATATGAAAAAATCTTTTCATATCTTTTGAATCTTTTTTTCTCGAAGTGTGAAAGAATCTGCATAGAACACATAATGTCCACTTTAAAAGTTCTTGAAATGTCTTGATATTCTAAGGAAGTATTGTTGTGGACAGAGCTACTAAATGACTAGAAATTATTTTGTTACTCAATATGTTAAAAAAACCAAACTCGATGTTTTGTATTAAATTTCTTACAAAGGTTGGTGGTTGGTTATTTGTCGAAAGCAGAGGACAGTTTCTATAATAATTTTATCAATTCGTTTCAGTTTTTATACATTATACAAAGCTGCACACATCCTTAACTACAGCTCACCTCACTCCTGTATATCTAAAACAGCTCATCAGTTAGCAGAGATGTAAACTCTTTTAAACAGTAATAGTAAAAGTATTTATGTGGAGTGCAAATAATATCTTTCTTTGAAACCAATTTATCTACACTTGAAGTTCTTCTAATTTTTTTTTCTACATAACAGTTAACGGTGAATAAATGCCCCCTAAACTATTTCTCCCTATCGCTCTCTATCTAACTGAGCAAACCCAATTTTTGTTATGTCAATATATCGAATAAACTTATAGCTAATAGAAGAGTATAATGAGAATACATTTTGAATACATTTAGCGAATAAAGTGATTTTGACTACAATACATCAGTTGCAACAAAAAAAAGGCAATATTAATGAGATGATGCCGTCTATTAAGATGACTTTCAAAGGAAGGTATCGTATCCTATAATTGAATGCAGAAAGATATTATATCTAGAAACATTGTCTTTATAATCAACACATTGAAATGAGTATATATATATATATACATTATTAAAATAAAACTGTATTTATTATTTTCATTTCATTCACTTATATATTTTATATTTATTTTATTTTATTTATTGTTTTCTTAGTATTTGAAAGTCATAACTTTTTTGTGTTAAGAAAAATATTTGATTATGACTGCTCCGTAGCGTTATTAGCAATTTTGTTGGCTGCTTTTATGATTATTACTGATACTAATTATAATAAATTTAATTTTCATTCTTATTTTATCACAAAAGACTGCAGTCATATCGATTTCCCATTGAAAATACGTTCACAAAAATTTTTATATGACGAGATAATAATGTCACAATGACATTTTGAGTACTTTTCACAACGGAAACACAACAGGGGTCTGCGGAGAAGTGAAAATGTGTGCTTAACTTGGTGTGTATGTACGCGTTATAAGTCTTCCTTATAGAGAACTTCGTTCAAATCCCAAGAGTTATCTTGTTGGAAAAGTAAAAGTTATTCATGTCACTTCACATTTAAGAACGTGAAGGTAGGAGTAGAAAATTGAATTGTAATTCAATTTGAATTCACACATTGTAAATTTCAAAATAGGCTGAGAATTAAGACTATTTTTCGGTTATATTAAAGCCATAGATAAAAAATACACATAAAAATATGTTAAATTAATTTGAAGTGAAGTGAGAACCTTATGGATGCACATGCTAATTATGTTCATGATATTAAAAGACGTCTACTTAAGGCTGGTTATGGATAACGCACAAAGACCTAAACAATCTAAAACGGATAGTAACCCAGATCGGGAATGAATCGTTAAATAACAGATAAAAAATTTAACATAAATGTTTCATAATTAACCTTTGCAAAAATCACCCACACCATTGGTTGTGGATGAAATGTCCCTTACAGCTAAACGGAGACTTCCTTTAGCAAAACAACTCATTTGCAATAATCGTACAGACTTATTAATTCGAAACCTAAAACATTAATACTTGAAATCCAATCGGAAAATTTGCTAAACTAGTTTCAAATGTTCATACTCAACTCCGAATTCCATTTAAAATACAAAGTTATTCGATAAGTAAAGTTTTATTACTTTTTAATTCATTTAAAAAGATAAGTTAGGTTTTGCTACTACATTCATCGCAAGAACAACTGTATAGAAGAGCAGAGACTTAATCCATCCCGCCGAATTTAGGTAATTTAATAGGTATTTCGTCTTTACCGATGAACAGTCTGATAAACTATCAAAGAAGTATTTTCCTAAGAACCTATATTTTCTGGACGCCAAAGCCGAACATTCACAGAGAAAATGTATTATGGTGTCTTTCTCCTGTCGATTATCTTACATCTACCTATCTATATAATCTGAATATATATAACCATATATATTATATATAAACAAAATTTCTAAAGTTTCTTCAGGTTCTATAAGGTATATCTAGAATAAGACTTTTACTCAGTCGTCTTATTGTTTTACTATTGTCTAACAGAGACAAGGCAGGAAAATTTTTCTGAACTTCAAGTCAATTAATCTATCTACAACTAAATCTTTTTATTTCATCTCTTATCCAAGCAATCTCTAAGTCTTTGTGTAGTGATTGATCAAGACGCATCTGTAATCATTCGTAAAGTGATTGACTGGAATCTTTGCAATATTTCAATGTTAGAATTATCTTGTAAATAATCTTGTAAATAAAATATCAAAGTTATTGTATGAACAAAAACAAAACCAACTAGTAACAATTATAGTTTGGTTATTAAATGTTAAACTTTTATGGGTAGTTTTCTACCCCTTGGGCCAATGTGTTAATACTTTTTGGTTGATTTTGAGATTTAAGAAAATGACACAAAATTATTTCGCGATCGTTCTGTTTTAATATTTCTCGACGTTCCACGACTTATAAAGGAGTATAATTTGAGTATGGGAGGAGCGGACCTTCACGACAATGCATTAGCAAATTATCGTGTTAGAATTCGTGGAAAAAAATGGTGGTGGTCTCTTTTTACAAACACTTTATCCAATATGTTGGTCAACGCATGGAAATTGCATTACTTGGTTGCAAAGTCTGAAAACACCACACCCTTGTCGCAATTACAATTTCGATCCCAAGTAGCTCGGGAACTCTTGTTGGCACATAAACTTGCTGATACACAATGTAATGCTTGTAGAAGTAATATCAAATACTGTGAACATACGGATACTAAACATATTTCCAGTAAAAGAATGGGTGGCGCTCCACCAAGGCGATGCAAAGTATGTTCATCAAAAACGCCATATATTTGTAAAAAATGTGACATTAATTTACATCCAAAATGTTTCGAGAAATATGTAAATTTTCAATCTTCAAATACTTCTTTTAAAAAAACGTCATTTGTTTTAACTAAATATAATTTTTACCGTAACTCATTTTTGTTTAGAAATACTGTACACATTGGCCCAAGGGGTAGAAAACCCCAATCATAACTCGAAAACCATAATACGTAGAAACAAAATTCAAACGAATATTTCTTAATTAGGTCTAAATTAACTAATATTAAAAATTTTGACAAAAAATATTAACAGGATCTGGTACCGGGCCAAAATGGGTTAATCTCGTCGTCATCGTCATCAAAATAGAAGCTCCAATCCTATAAGATGAAAGCTTCTAGAAAATAATAAAAAAAGAGATTTCGCGAGACATCATAAATTGTGTGAAAAGTTGTGCAAAACAAAAATTTTATTAAAATGAATACAAGTATAAAATATTATTAAAAAATCAACATGGTGAACATTTATTTAAAAAATATAAAAAAAGTATGAATCCACAAAACAACTATAACCCTCGACCGATGGAGCATTTGATTTTTGCATCGCAGAAAAGCGGTGCTCAACTAACCAAAGAGGACAAATGAAAACTAATATAGTGAAAATTTTATATGGAAAAAATAATGATACAATAAAAAATACAATATGAAATACTAACAATTTAATATTAGATAAGTTGAATTTGCCAAATGAATAAATAAATAAACTATCATATAGAAAAGTTTGTAAAAAGCATTGGTTCATCGAAGCCGTCAAGCTCAAATACCCCAAGAATCAGGAATCAATTGAATGTGTTGAACTTGTTAACTTCTCAACCAGGTACTTTGAAAGAAATGTTAAACTACATTTTTTTAAATTGATTTCTGTTTAATATTTTATTAAATTATTGAATTATATTATTGTTTAAAATTTAATTGATTTTTTGCATATTATTTAAATTATTTTATATATACTTTAATATCAAATTTGTAAAAAATTTTCTTCATACTGGGAATAAGTCTATATAAACTTTTGTCTTGTTGAAGGGCATCTGTTCAATCAGTTGTTAAGTTTCATTCGTTCGGTACGGTCGAGTGCTTTATACTAGGCCACGTGCAACGTTGTTGTTTCATTTTTTTAACATATATTGTGTTGAATGATATAATAATATTGATATATATATATATATATTAACTATTCACTTAATTAAAAGTTGAACTTCTGACTTGTGGTAGCAATTTGTGAGTTTGTTGAGTTTAGGCGCGGTGTTTGGAAACGTGTTCGCTTAAAAACAAAAAATTAAAAAAAAAAAAAACAAAAAAAGCAACTCGTCATAGTACGGCATTGTAAGCTGTGCTTCGAGTTCAACTTCAATAGCTTGATTTGTGGCGGTTCGTGTCTGTGGTGTAAGCTTATGAGCTTACGTGATAGCGTGATTGCGAGATAAGCTAAACCTATCTACTGCCGCTTTCAATACGGTCTCGCATCTACCTAGTAAAATTTCAAGCCGATAGGGCATCCACTAGTTGTATTCTCCTTACTGATTTTATTAATCTTTAAGGGGAGGCGCAAAGTGTTTGTTTCAATTTCGG